GTTTGTTATAGGGGCCTAAGCGGATTAACATCAAAGGTATGGTTTATAGGGGCCTAAGTAGATTAACGTCAAAGGTATGTTTATAGGGGCCTAAGTAGATTAACATCAAAGGTATGTTTATAGGGGCCTAAGTAGATTAACATCAAAGATATGTTTATAGGGCCTAAGTAGATTAACATCAAAGGTATGTTTATAGGGGCCTAAGTAGATTAACGTCAAAGGTATGTTTATAGGGGCCTAAGTAGATTAACATCAAAGGTATGTTTATAGGGGCCTAAGTAGATTAACATCAAAGATATGTTTATAGGGGCCTAAGTAGATTAACATCAAAGGTATGTTTATAGGGGCCTAAGTAGATTAACATCAAAGATATGTTTATAGGGCCTAAGTAGATTAACATCAAAGGTATGTTTATAAGGGCCTAAGTGGATTAACATCAAAGGTTTGTTTATAGGGGCCTAAGTGGATTAACATCAAAGGTATGTTTATAGGGGCCTAAGTGGATTAACATCAAAGGTATGTTTATAGGGGCCTAAATAGATTAACATCAAAGGTATGTTTATAGGGCCTAAGTAGATTAACATCAAAGGTATATTTATAGGGGCCTAAGTAGATTAACATCAAAGGTATGAAACATATCTCATAGATTTTCGCTGTTAGATACACTCTGTTAAAAAGTAGAAATTGAGTGTGAGGATTCCACCGAATAAAGGCACGAAGTGTAATAAACATAATATGTTTCGGCACATATTATTGGATCATAATATTTTCGCATTGCTAACGTATTATATGGATGTGATATAACACCTAAATTTGCCGAACCTCGTGAGATATTACTGGAATTACGGCCGAAAATATCGCCAACAGCGAGATTACTCTGTGGATAGAACAATGCATTGTAATTTTTATAAGTAAAAACGTATTGACAGTATATTTAATTAGCTATACTCATTATTAACACGTCGGTTTTCAATTGTAATATATATATAGGTCAGAAAGTAATGTCAATATAATGTAACACAGGGTTTTATATATTCTGCGTTCTTGTTTTTAGGTTCGTTCCATGTGTTGTGAAGTATTGACAAAGCCTTAGAATTTTGGATTAGGCTTATTACATTGCGATAACATTTCGTTTTTTTATTGTATTCACCAAAGCTTCAACAAAGCACGCAATGTATCATATCCGTTGAAAGATACCGAGCTAAAAGTAACAGATAAACAATTGTCAAACGTTACTCAGACAGCTAGGGTTAACTGATAAACCTCTATCTTGGTAAGGAAACCGTAAAAAGTCGGTTAGCTGATGCTAGCAGCACTGAGCATGCTCAAAATAGCTAGAGTTAAAAAGAAATAGAAGATGCGTTGTTGACTAACCAATAAATTTACAATGCTTTAGCTATAGTATTTCGAACAAGTACACCATACGTTACGTATTACTGTACCACACTGATGTGGCTCAACGACGTACTGAGTTTGGTCTGAGATATTGTTCTTTATGTGACACGAACCAAATATTTTATAAATCAAAATGCACTTGATATATATATATTTCACGAATAGAAAACAACATGAAAGTTTGGAAAGGAATGCCCATTGGTCACTTCTATTCATTCTTTCTATAATCCCTTATTACACATTCTGAGGAATATCCTACAGAATAATATGTATTTATATAACAAACTGTGGAATACAGAATACTGTGGAATTGTTTATTTATTTTGTGAAATACCGTTTAATATTTTCTTATAAATTCTACGAAATCGTGTGTATTTCTTTTCTTTAATTATTCTGACGAAATATTTTTCGTTATAAGATCAACAGAACATCGTGTTTTCTAGATTATTTCACATGGTTGTATATTACCACCTGATATGTCAGACTTACCTTCTACAGACATGACTTTTTCAGCCGCCGCTGTTCTAAATAACGGAGCATCTGCGGATACTTCACACCTAAACTTTCCTCCAGTATTCGTCTGAACATTTTGGATGTACACAGACTGTTGGCTGGAGCGAGTAAACTATAAAAGAAACAAGGAACTGTGGGATTGTTTTTTTTTTTTAATATATCTATCTAAACATTATTGCTATAACCGTCCTATTTCGATCAGAGCGTAAACCTTTTAGCACGATATTTTGGTTACCACCCAAAGGTTTTATTACGTCCATGATCATTTTGATTCATTTCTGTTTAGACCTGAAAAACCACAATATAATCTAAGAAAATCTCATTTAGGCTTAGTAAGTGACAACTTTTAAACTCCTAGGAATAAATTAATGACAGATAATAAAAATTGTTTGAGGCAAACAATTATGTAAATATATTTAAAACGTACTCAAATATTAAAATCATGAGTTGATGAATTCTGAAGACGCAGAAAAGAGTCTGAAATTAGTTTCAGAAGGAAAATAAATCATTGAGACATTAGTTAGATAATCTATTAATTTTTTATACGATATTATTCTGCTTGCTAAAGTTGCTTAATTATGCAATATTTCATAATAATTGAAGAGAATTTATGAGTTGAAAAATTATTCACGAATAAACGTCACATAGTCATGCTGACCTGTGTTGCCTATTTAGGCTTACCTTACTATGAAACGCTGCAAATTCTTAACTCAGTTTCAAATCTTTATCGCGAGCGGTAAGCCCACATTCAAAGAGACAAAATATATTCGCTAGGTGAAACAATATTAACCATGTTCAAAACGGCACTGGGTAAAAGATATTAAAACTATTATTCAGCTATCGGGTAAGAGATATTAAAACTACTGTTCGGCTATTTGGGTAAGAGGTATTAAAACTACTGTTTAGCTATTGGGTAAGAGATATTAAACTACTATTCAGCTATTGGGTAGGAGATATTAAAATTACTCTTTAGCTATAGGGTAAGAGATATTATTAACTACTGTTCGGCTGTTGGGTAATAGATATTAAAACTACTGTTCGCCTATTGGATAAGAGACAATAAAACTACTGTTCAGTTATTGGGTAAAATATATTAAAATTACTGTTCAGCTATTGGGTAAAGATATTAAAACTATTATTCAGCTATCGGGTAAGAGATATTAAAACTACTGTTCAGCTATTTGGGTAAAATATATTAAAATTACTGTTTAACTGTTGGGTGAGAGACATTAAAACTACTCTTCAGCTATATGGTAAAAGATATTAAACTACTATCCAGCTGTTGGGTAAAATATATTAAAAACTACTGTTTAGCTATTGGATAAGAGACTAAAACTACTGTTCAGTTATTGGGTAAAATATATTAAAATTACTGTTTAACTGTTGGGTGAGAGACATTAAAACTACTCTTTAGCTATATGGTAAAAGATATTAAACTACTATCCAGCTATTGGGTAAAATATATTAAAAACTACTGTTTAGCTATTGGATAAGAGACTAAAACTACTGTTCAGTTATTCGGTAAAATATATTAAAATTACTGTTCAGCTATTGGGTAAAGATATTAAACTACTATTCAGCTATTGGGTAATAGATATTAAAACTACTGTTCATCTATTGGATAAGAAACAATAAAACTACTGTTCAGTTACTGGGTAAAATATATTAAAATTACTGTTTAACTTTTGGGTAAGAGATATTAAACTACTCTTTAGCTATATGGTAAAATATATTAAACTACTATCCAGCTATTGGGTAAAATATATTAAAATTACTGTTTAACTGTTGGGTAAGAGATATTAAACTACTCTTTAGCTATATGGTAAAATATATTAAACTACTATCCAGCTATAGGGTAAAATATATTAAAATTACTGTTCGGCTATTGGTTAAGAGATACTAAACTACCGTTACCGTATATAAAGTTGAACAAATGAGGTTCACTTGACAACAACTTTGTGAACTCTAGTAGATAATAATTCACTTAGTCAGAACTGTTGGTACAAAGGTCATTTATTTAAAATAATCATATACTGTATGATCTAAGAATCATATACTCTATGATCTAAAAACCATATACTGTATGATCTAAGAATCATATACTCTATGATCTAAGAACCATATGCTGTATGATGTAAGGATTATATACTGAATGTTCTAAGAATCATATACTGAATGATCTAGGAATCATATGCTGTATGATTTAAAAATCATATGTTGAATGATCTAAGAATCACCTACCCTATACTCTAAGAATCATATATTGTACGATTTAAAAATCATATACTGTATGATCTAAGAACCATGTACTGTATGATCTAAAAGCCATATGCTCTATGATCTAAGAACCATATACTGTATAATTTAAGAATCATATCCTGTACGATTTAAAAATAATATACTGTATAATCTAAGAACCATATGCTCTATGATGTAAGAATCATATACTGTATGATCTAAGAACCATATGCTCTATGATATAAGAATCATATGCTCCATAGTTTGAGAATCATATACTCTATGACCTTAGAATCATATACTGTATAATCTAAGAATTATATATACTATGATCTAAGAACCTTATACTGACTGATTGAAGAATCATATTCTCTATAATCTAATCACACACAAAATAAGCATGTAGATCTGTCACTGTTTTCCCTGTTTCAAACGTAAACTTTATCACATCAGAACAGTACAAGTACTGTAATACACTCTCCTTATGCATTAATACATCAGCTTTTTTAGGTTACTAATGGATACTTGTCATTGTAGACGTAACGCAAGAGTGTTAGTGATTTTTTTCTTATAGCAAAGCCATATCAGACTATCTGCTGTGTCTACCGAGGGGAATCGAACCCCTGATTTTAACGTTGTAAATCCGAGGACTTATCGCTGTTCCACCGGCGAACAACGTAAAAGTCACCCAAGAAAAATATATGTAAAATACCATCGATATTTAAACTACTGTTGGGGTTCCTGAAACATATCTAAACTATTGTTGGGGTTCCTGAAACATATTTAAACTATTGTTGGGGTTCCTGAAACGTATTTAAACTACTGTTGGGGTTCCTGAAACATATCTAAACTATTGTTGGGGTTCCTGAAACATATTTAAACTACTGTTGGGGTTCCTGAAACATATCTAAACTATTGTTGGGGTTCCTGAAACATATTTAAACTACTGTTGGGGTTCCTGAAACATATTTAAACTATTGTTGGGGTTCCTGAAACATATTTAAACTACAGTTGGGGTTCCTGAAACATATCTAAACTATTGTTGGGGTTCCTGAAACATATCTAAACTATTGTTGGGGTTCCTGAAACATATTTAAACTATTGTTGGGGTTCCTGAAACATTTACGGATAAAACAAATGAGTTCAGCTTTTCCTCTCTTTTGGTTGGGGAGGAAGGGGTCAATAATTTCCCTGAGTATTGTAACAAGCAAAATATAATATTTGAATCTAATAAATAATAAAAGTATAAAAACAAGACGTAAATTTGTGGGAACTTCACACTATTGTCTCTTTAGTATATTTGTGTTGACTACCTTAGTATATTTGTGTTGCCTACTTTGGTATATTTGTGTTGTATACTTTAGTATATTTGTGCTGTCTACCTTAGTATATTTGTGTTGTCTACTTTAGTATATTTGTGTTGTCTACCTTAGTATATTTGTGTTGTTCTACTTTAGTATATTTGTGTTGTCTACTTTAGTATATTTG